GTTGTTATATTAATATAGTTTTGAGTTAGTTGTTAATCTCTATTTGTTCAACTACGTTTTGATTTTGGTTAATTGAAAGGATCCTCAATTAGTCGTTCCTATTTATTATGTATCTGCTTGAGAGAGAGTGCATATTTAGGTAGTTGCTTGAACAACATCACTCCCGGAGTATAGGCGAGAGTCATAACCGAGGGTTTAAAGGTTGGATTAGAGATAACGATACCTCGGGTGCGATCTAAGTGAACTGTAATGTGAATCTAACTAGCGTAGCTTAAGAGAGTGTGTCTAGTAAATTATCATAATTGCTCGAGAGAGATTTATGATAGCTGGAGAGTTCATGATTGATAGAGGCAACTAAGTCAAAACTATAAGAAACATACAACTAATGAAATCAACAATTGGCGAAATCATAACTCTAGACCTCCTTAATTTAGTCTCCAAACCTTTGTCTCGTTAGTTGATAATTTTACCGTTTTATAGTATTTGTTGGTTAATTAGTTAGATATAAAAATCTTAATATTATAATTTAGAAATTGTTAAAACTTGTCTTCTTTGCGATATTGAACAATTACAGCGAAACCTTAGTTCTCTGTGGGATTCGACTTCGGACTTTTAGACCGAATTATATTTGCAGCGACCGCTTATCCTTTTTAGGACTAGAGTTGGGCGTGATCAGAGATATTCCAAAGCTGATGCAACATCGACCATTATGTCTAATCTTTGGATCATATTCAAGAAGTAATCATCAGAATGTAACCATTGCTCTAGGCTTCCATTAGGCATGTACTCTAGAAGTAATGCTTTAAAATCCATGTTAGTACAACTACTGATAGCTTTGGTAAGATTTCTTTGGCGAAGGTTGCGTAGAACTTCACATTCAGTATCAAAACTCTTAAATGCACCTTCAATCTGTAAATTAAACTCTTTGACTGCCAAAACCATCCAATTCGCAAAGATGCCCTTGTAAACAGAACCGAAACCTCCATGGCCTAGCAAGTTGCATTGGTCGAACCCCTGAGTTGCCCTTTCGATTTCAATGTATGAGATCCTGGCTAGTATCGTTGTTGCAGGTAAGGATTCGACTTGTGTTGGAACATTTCTACATCTCCTGAACATGAACATAACAATTGAGCCAAGTCCCATAAATGAAACCGCCAATGGGACAAGTACAATCAACAGAAATCTGCTTCTCCATGAGTGATGAACAAGCCTAGCCTTAAAAGGTCGGAAAAGGAAACCACCACATAACTCCTCATTTCCCATAAAAAATTGAGAGGTGAAATTGAGAAAAGGTCCTTTACTTGGGATTTCACCTTCTAACCTATTGAATGATACATTGAAATCCTTCAGATACCGAAGTGCCTCTAATGATTTTGGAATCATAACTGAAAGAATGTTATTGGATAGATCCGCCGATTCCAAACTTATCATTTTTCCGAGTGACTCAAGAATAGATCCTTGTAACTCATTGAAAGCCAAAGAAAGATAAATTAGTTTCTGCAAGTCTCCAACCATGGTTGGAATACTTCCTGAAAGGTGATTCCTCGACAAATCTACTACTGTTATGGCATTCAAATTTCCGAAATATGGAGGTAAAGAACCAACCAAAGAATTATTGGAGAAGTCAAGCTCTACAAGATCTTTGAGGCTCCATAGACTCATGGGTATGTTAGTGGAGCCTATTTGACTTTAGGTAAATATTTGTCAAAGAGGTAGTATTGCCAGTGCAATATGGTATTGGACCCGATATTTGATTATAAGACAAACCAACCCAGCCCAATTCCGGCAATCTGCAAAGGCACTCTGGGAAGGGTCCAGTTAAGCTATTCTGATCAAGCCATAAAACTTGAAGACTCTGTAAATCACATAATGTTCTTGGCACTGATCCAGTCAAGTCATTGCCGAATAGGGACAAAGTGTTTACGTTACTTAAATTACCAATTCCTAATGGTATTTCTCCCCTAATTTCAGTTTCCTCTAAATTAAATAGTAGTACAAGAGAAGTGGAGAGATTGCCAATGGAATCTGGAAGAACACTATTAAGAGGATTATCCGATATCACTATCTCTTTCAAAGATGTGCAGTTCGCCAAAGAAGTTAGGATACTTAGGTGCGGAGATGATAAGTTGTTTTCGAACAACCTCAAATGTTCAAGATGTCTCAAATTTCCCAAAGAGTTAGGAAGCCGGCCCCTGAATTTGTTACCGCTAAGATGTAATTCCTTTAGATTTAAAGAATTGGAGATTGAGCTGTGTATAACTCCATCTATGCTGTTATCACCTAGATTCAGAAAATGTAGATTTGTTTGCCAGTAGCTTGAAGCAGATGGAAGACTACCCGAAAGGTTATTGAAACATCCTTCTTAGCGTAGAGATATTGAAGAGCTCTTCCGCTATGGAGCCACTTAGTTCATTAAATTGCAAATAAAGTTTCTCCAACTTGTGAAGGTTCCCAACTCTTCGGGTATAACACCTGCAACATCATAGAGAGCAAAAAGATTTAGATTAATGTTATTTTTAATTTTGTTTCCATGAAACCATTCAGAAAGAGTATATTTGGATGGCCAAACAACAATATATTGCTCAAAACTTACCTGTTAAATTGTTGGTCTTGAAATTAAGTATCCACAGCGATGTCATGTTCCATATGCTGCGCGGTATCGAACCCACGATGCTTTTTAGGGATGGCAAATGGAGCAGGGCGGACCAAAACACATTTTCAGAAAATAGTAAATGGGGCAAGGCGGGACGGGGCGGGTCAAAACACATTTTCCAGAAAATAGTAAATGGGGCAGGGCAGGATTTTAGCTGCAAACACACTTGTGTGCAGACTGTTGGGTTTTGTTATTATTTATTAATAACAAAAGAGGTGTGAATGGATAATGGTGGAAAAAGAAATGGAGGGAAGTGAAATTTTGAATCAATACACTTTGTCCCTCATTGGTAGAAGGAAAGAAAATCTTTGTGTATATATAGAGAAGCTCATCTTTTAGCTCTTAAAGAGTTAAGAAGAAGGCAAGCCTCGCGCCGTCGTCGTCGCTCGGTTCGGCTTCGGCCAAGGATTCGGATTGATTGATTGATTCGGCTCGTTTTCTTTCCCCGATTATTTCAAATCCGTTTTAATTTTCCTGTAATATTTCCAACAGCTATGGCTGTTCTAAAACAGTGTCAAATCTGTTCCAACAACCATAGCTGTTCTGAAACGTTGCAAACCTTTTCAGAAACAGTACCAAATTGGCTATAAATATTCCTTCAAATCCCAGAATATTTACTTACGAAATTTTCTGATAATCTTCTTCTTCTTCTGCACAAAAATTCCAGTGTATTTTACAGCCTTCGAGTGGTTCGCTGTTCATCGGCGTTTTTGGTACCAACACTCCGGTGAGTTAAATCATTCTATCCTGGGAGGATATATTCCAGAACCTCGGGTACTTGAGGGGAATAATTTCCTTAAAGACACACTGTGTATTCAGTAAGCTCGACTTGTTCCTATACCATTTTCAAAATTTATTTTGAAGTTCAAATACTGTTTTTCAGAATTTATTTATACTAACTTTCTGTTTCTGTTTTCGGAAAGATTATTGTTTTATTTATTTACAGCAATACAGATTGATAACAATCTTAAGGAAATTAAATTTATTATATTCTGTATTATGTCTGAATTTTACTATTCTGATTTGAAGATATAAATACTTCATCAGAGTATTGAAATTCAGAAAACGATTTGAAGAACATAAAAACTTCATCGTTTTTATGTAAATAGTATATAAAAACTTTGGTTATTTTTTATTACGTACTGTTTATTGATTACAGTATTATTTACTGTTCTGGTTTTGCCATTAATTGATCTCTTCTGTTGTTGACAGTGAGAAATGGCAATTGATAATGGAAATCCTTCTGCGACTGTTGGTGCAACGACGATAGCCTCGTCAAGCCGCACTGCTTTTCCTCCGGCCGAGAAACCGGGGAAATTTTCTGGAACTAACTTCACAGGATGGCAGCAAAGGGTGTTCTTCTGGCTTACCACACTTGGTATGCAGAAATTCACTAGTAAAGAGCCTCCAGTGCCTGCTGCGGACATGCCCGACAATGAAAAGTTCATGGTTGTTGAGGCGTGGAAGCAGGCAGATTTTCTTTGCAAAGGCTATATCTTAAGTGCTTTAGAGGATGACTTGTACAATGTGTACAGTGCAATGAATACTTCGAAAGAATTATGGGACGCACTTGAGAAGAAGTACAAGACAGAAGATGCATGCTTGAAGAAGTTCATGGTTGCCAAGTTTCTAGACTATAAAATGATAGACAGCAAAACTGTGGGAACACAAGTTCAGGAGCTTCAACTTATTTTTCGAAACCTTATTGCTGAAGGTATGGTCGTGAATGAAGCATTTCAAGTGGCTGCTATGATTGAAAAATTGCCTCCTTCGTGGAGAGATTTCAAGAACTATCTTAAGCACAAGCGCAAAGAAATGAAGTTGGAAGATCTTGTGATACGTCTAAAGATCGAGGAAGACAACAAAACAGCCGAGAAGAAGTCTCGTGGAAATTCAACGATCATGGGAGCTAATATCGTTGAGGAGACTGCTCCAAAAAGTAAGAAGAGGAAGAGGTCTTCTGGACAAACTAAGGAGCAGAACAAAAAGAAATTCAAGGGCTGCTGCTACAATTGTGGAAAAGTTGGTCACAAAAGCCCTGATTGTCGTCTCCCGAAAAAGAATAATAAGAAGGGACAAGCCAACATAGTGGAGAAGAATGATGACATTGATGATCTCTGTGCAATGCTTTCGGAACGCAACCTAGTTGGAAATCCGAAGGAGTGGTGGATTGACTCTGGAGCCACTCGTCATGTTTGTGCTGTCAAAGAAGCATTTGCGACTTACTCTACTGCTGGTCCCGAAGAAGAAATTTCCATGGGAAATAATGCAACAACCAAGATTGAAGGTTATGGGAAGATATTCCTGAAGATGACTTTCGGCAAGGTGTTAACGCTCAACAACATTCTTCATGTTCCTACTATTAGGAAGAATTTAGTTTCTACTTCTTTACTTGTAAAGAATGGATTCAAATGTGTATTTGTTTCTGATAAAGTTGTAAGCAAGAACGAAATGTATGTTGGAAAAAAGGCTACCTCACGGAGGGCCTTTTTAAACTCAATGTAATGGTTGTTGATAGTATGAATAAAATTTCAGCTTCTTCTTATTTATTGGAGTCAAATGATTTATGGCATATTCGTTTAGGACATGTCAATTATAAAACCTTGCGGAAGTTAATTAATTTAGAAGTATTGCCTAAATTCGAGTGTAATAAATCGAAATGTCAAATATGTGTTGAATCTAAGTTTGTAAAACATCCTTATAAGTCTGTTAAAAGGAATTCAAATCCTTTAGACTTAATTCATACTGACATTTGCGATATGAAGTCGACACCATCTCGAGGTGGAAAAAAGTATTTTATTACTTTTATTGACGATTGCACTAGATATTGTTATGTTTATTTGCTTAATAGTAAGGATGAAGCAATTGAAGCATTTAAGCAATACAAGAATGAAGTGGAGAATCAATTGAATAAAAAGATCAAAATGATAAGAAGTGATAGAGGTGGAGAATATGAATCTCCATTTGCAGAAATATGTTCGGAATATGGAATTATCCATCAAACTACTGCACCTTACACACCTCAATCCAACGGAATTGCGGAAAGGAAAAATCGGACATTAAAAGAAATGATGAATTCTTTATTAATAAGTTCCGGATTACCGCAGAGTTTGTGGGGGGAAGCTATCCTTACAGCTAACCGAATACTCAACAGAGTACCCCACAGCAAAACGCAATCTATTCCATATGAAAAATGGAAAGGAAGAAAACCCAACTTAAAATATTTCAAAGTGTGGGGGTGTCTAGCAAAGGTACAGGTTCCTTTACCTAAAAGGGTTAAAATTGGACCAAAAACAGTAGATTGCATTTTCATTGGATATGCTACAAATAGTAAAGCATGTCGATTTTTGGTTCATAAATCTGATAATCCCGAGATTCATGTTAATACGGTAATGGAATCAGATAATGCTGAATTCTTTGAAAGCATCTATCCGTATAAAACTGGAAGCGAGTCGTTAAGTGAAAGACCTAAACGACCTCGGGAAGAACCAAAGGAAAATACTCCAAGTATAGAAGATCCAAGGCGTAGCAAACGTCAAAGAACATCTACTTCCTTTGGACCAGATTTTGTGACATTCTTGCTTGAAAATGAGCCTCAAACTTTTAAAGCAGCTATGTCATCTTCTGATTCAGCATTTTGGAAAGAGGTAGTCAATAGTGAGATTCAATCAATTTTGGATAACCATACATGGGAATTGGTTGATCTTCCTCCAGGAAATAAGCCTTTAGGTTCGAAATGGATCTTTAAACGGAAAATTAAAGCTGATGGCACTATTGACAAATATAAGGCAAGACTTGTTGTCAAAGGTTATAGACAAAAGGAAGGCCTTGATTACTTTGACACTTACTCGCCAGTAACAAGGATAACATCTATTAGGGTGTTAGTGGCACTAGCGGCCGTGTATGGTCTTGAAATCCATCAAATGGATGTTAAAACAGCTTTCCTAAATGGAGAATTGGAGGAAGAGATTTACATGGAACAACCTGAGGGTTTTGTGGTTCCTGGTAA